GAAGATTAATTTAATGCTACAGGGATTATACGCAGACGATGTGTTTGGGGGGTTATGTTAGACCATGATGAACATCTACCACCGTTACCATAGCAATTAACAATTCAAAACAAAGTGGTATATCTTTTGAATGAGCCTGAAACTGTCACCTATAAATAAGAACCTAAAACCCACGGATAGGGGAGGGCAGTAAAGCCAAAAAAGCCTACGTTGTGATCTCAGTTTGATCAATTCTTGTAGCTTTATATTGCTACTTTTTCTGAGGGTTCAAACTTCACTGTGATTGGTTAAATCCACCTGTCACTCACTCCCTTTGATGGACATTTAACTAATAGAAGCAATGGGTGAAGCATGTGTTTGAGCAAATTTAAGCACATTTCAATCTTTTTAATGAACAACTATATGAAAATTAGTGTTTTTAAAAAGTTGTTATTTTTGTCTACATACACACAAAAAATTGTAATCTCATATCCGCTGTTCCTTTGTTAAAACTCCATTAACATTCACAAGTTACATAAGAGTCCTTTCGCGCAGTGGTTAACAGTATTGTGTTGTATATTGTGTTGTATATTGTATTGTATCTGCGCAAATAAACAAGTCCTTTTCTGCCTCAGTCTGGAGCAGCCGTAACAATAGTTCTACACCCGAGAACAAAAGTGAACGTCCCTCAGTGTGCAGCTCTTATAAAGTTAGTTATAAAGACCTCACCAACAGCGTCTCAATCACTGTTTATTCTGTAAACCTGCACGGATAATTTTTGACCATGTGGATTTCAAGTGGATTTGTGGAAAGAGTTAAAAGTGGTTTGCTGCAAGCGCCACTACATGCTCCAAAAATACAAAAACACTTCTCTGTGCTGTTATTAGCCATATTTTAGTCCTCATTTAGTCCAAAGTTAGACGTAGGCAGGTTCAGTTGGAGTCAAAATTGAAGTCAACGTTTTTCTTGAGCATTATTTGTTTTAGCTATTTGTTTTCAAAATGTTGAGTATTGCTTGAGGTGGAACTGAGTCGAAGATGTGCCTATAGCAAATAAGTTAAACCTGTTTATTATGCACGTCAATCAACACTCTAGGGTTACAAATTTGCGTTTCATTTAAATAACTGAAACATCAGCTAGGGATGCACCGATATGATCCTGGTATCGGATATCAGCGCCAATATTGACATTTTTGGTGGATCGGATATCTGTTTCCAGGATATTGGCACAGGCGATATCCTATTTTGATCTATAATTCACTTTGAGCCAATGTGGACTCAAAGGTCTCATGATATTGAACTTAAAGCTGTTCTGTAGTTACTTTAAATGATAAATATCAGTTACAAAACTCATATGGATAATTTTTTTTTTCAGTTTAAAGTGAATTATATTTTCAGTCTCTTGTCTGGTATCGGTTGATATTGGGTTTTGGCAGATACTTAAAGCTGTGGTATTGGCACTGAAAAAACTGTATCGTGCTAGGGGTTTGCAAAAATATCGAAATATGTATATATCATATCGTTTAATGTGACGATACAGTATCGATATCGTGGGCTGCTGTATCGCCAAGAGTATTTTTTTTTTTTGGTATATTTTGTTAAATTATTTTGTTACAACGCAACAGTTTTTTTGTTTGTTTAGAGGAAGGATCACTCTTTTGATCATTAAAATGTTTGTGTTTCATATTCACTTTGCACAGAAAGTGGTTTAACAAAGACTTTTAGTATCAGCCATGATTTAGCCTTTATTTTTTATTGAACAATTTGAAATATATCGTTTTGAATTGAAAAATCAAATGTCCAAAACTTTAATTTTATTAACTTTTCTAACCATGCGCCATCGTTGTTGAAAATCTTTACTTTTACCACAGTCTGGTCTTGGAATGTCTAACTTAGTATATTTAATGAACTGGATAAAACAGGAACCAGACCAGAATCAGATCAGACCTGAGACTAGACTCTGTACAATCCAGAGTTTGTATATTTGATATTATATGGAAGCCTGTGCATTACATTTGAAACATTTAGGCCAGTCTATGATATTCAAATGATACAGGATCTTACCAAATAAAAATGAGATAACAGAATCCCCACAGCCTCTCTCCCCCGGACACCTCTACTCTCCTGAACCCCCACCACATCCACAAACCCACCGCGGAGCGCGCACCACAACATCGGTCCCACCACCCAACAGACACTCCACGCCGCTGGACAGACCCTCTCCACCAAAAGCTCTAGCTAGTGCACGTACGACGACGCCATCAGCCGCGCAGGTGTGAACATGGGCCACAGAACCACAGGTAACAGCGCCCGAGCACAGCACGGCCCAAAAGTCCCAGCGCGAGTGCGCCTCTAGTACAACAGACGATGGGGCAGACAATCGAGCAAATCCCACTCCTCAGAAAAACTGTTGTGCCCTGTGTGTTAGACGTATATTATTTATCCGATACCTGATCGGCACATAACATCCGAGTTCGGATCGAGTCTGCAGCCGATTTCCGATCACGTGATCGGATTTCGACAACCCTAGTTCTAACTTCAATAGTCATGCTAATATCATATCAGGTTAAACTGTACTTAAAGTAATACTGTGTAACTTTATGGAGGTGGCTCATCACTCACAAGATTCCATGGAGATAGATTTTATAGAGTTTGATAGAGTTTTATGCCATACTGTAGAACATTAAAGCCGAAGCAACAACAGAGTGAGGTTTGTGGAGATGCAATCTCACTCTCGTTTCTCAGCACAATAAAAATATCTAAGATGAAAAAAAAAAAAAAAAACTATCTCTCCAGATGACTCCCTGGTTATTCCGATATTCTTCTGATAAATACACTATAATGCGTCCGGCTGTGCGTTGTGTTTGTTGGTTTTATGCGCCGGTGCCTCCCTGCTGGGTGGTGTTGATTCTCTTAAACACGGATTTAGTGTTGCTCACAGTGGGGCTTCAGTGGGATTTCGGAGGAGTGAAGTGAATATAGAAGGTGTGTTATTGCCATTCCAACACACTAAAAAGGATTTGTTGTTTATCGCCGCAGTTGTAAAAGATTTGAACAAAAGACCCAAAGACTGCACCAGAATAATGTAGGGATAAAACAGCATTAAAGTACTAGTAAGAAAAAGTGCGAAGTGTGTATTTTATTTTTAAAGCTCGGTCATATCTTTTATTTAGCGCTGATTTGGTGTGGTGTAACAGTAGTTTGATCTTTGATCTCAGATGTCTTATAACTTCTTTATCACAATTTTGACAGTGCATACTTTGGTTGTGTCCTTGGGCAAGACACTTCACCCACCTTTCTTATATATGAATGTGGTATTGGTGTGAGTGAGTGACTGGTGAGGGACAGAGAAACTATTACGACAGATTGGCAGCCAGCTAAGAAAACGAGTGAATGAAAAATAAAAAGTAAGTGTCTCCAAGTGTCTCAGGTGTGCCTTTTAAATCCAGTGCAGTATTTGTTTTTTGAAAATCTGTCAAGTTTTCATCTTAAAGAATTATAGAAACAATTATATTTGGCATAGAGACATATTTGTTGGTTTCAGAATGAGTGAAAACTTGGGACTAGGTCAAGTCTTTGGAGCTGTCACATTGTTCAGTTGTCCTCAAAATGTTGGATATGACTTACCTGATCAGCCAGAACCGCAAGCTTTGACAAAACTTTACAAACGAGTGGATCTGGAGCTGTACCGTGATTGACAGGCAGATTAACCAACCACAGAGACGCATTGTCCGTTAGTCTCAAAAACAAACATGGCTGCTTATGCTTAAAAACGGAGAAAAAAACAACATAAAGACTGAGAAACAGCATGGGTTTTCTCAGAATCAACAATCAAAGCTCCAAACTATTATTTATCTCTGTTTATTTATCTCTTTAAAAGAAATTAGAAGTTATATATTTTGTTCTGAATGTTACGAGAATTATGGAGAGGAGATGTCTTCCGCATTTCAGAGACACGTGATACAAATTATCAGCTGTGGTTAGACCGTGTCAAGTTTTAGATGGAGGTTTTTCCATGCTCTGTGGTCCTATTCCAGACCTTTCTGGATCTGAATAAAAGTAGAAGGGACTGGCTGGTGAGGCAGCCACATAACTGTAAGCTGAAATCAATGAATAGATTCTTACACTCCTGAATAATTGAGCTGAAACGTGATTTTACTGGCGAAGCGTGGACTTATACATAATAACGTGATGTACATAACTTGATATAAATTAATTCATCCAGATCATCCATCTTGTCTTCACTGTCCATTGCCCTTCGTGTACACCAATCCCACCTGACTCTCTTCTTCTAATGCCCCTCTGTGAATACTACATTTTGCCCTCTCAGTCATCCATCTTTGGCCTGGATGTGATCGCTCAGTGCCTCCTCCGAAAGCCCCGCTCCTCCGTCCTTGTCCCTTCTCATGACAAGCCCCACCCCCAGACTTAAGCTTAGGGCTCGGGGACAACAGCGAGACTCACGGGAGACAGAAGAGACTGACACTTGACAGATGTGCTCACTGCAAACACCAACATTAGTCTTGATCAAGCGTGTCAATATGTTCTACAGCGCAGACTTTATTCTCTATAAAAAGCAATTTGAGGGGAAAGACATACTTCTATTTAGATTTAAAATAGTGTCATTTTAAAACAACTTTTACATTGTAACTTTTGCTGCTTTTCTTCTGCTTGTTATTTATTTGCCTGGAATGTTCCATAGTAAGGAAATAAAAGAATCTATCTACCAATCTTTTTATTGCTTCAAATAACCTTGACCCTCCAGGTACTTGACCAGTCACTTGACTTGGTGGCGTTTCCTTCTTGTCTCCATGAAAATAGAAAAGTTTTATACAATACTGAAAATCCTTCAATTTAGATTCAAATATAGTTACTCCAACACAAAGAGGACAGTGATGGAATAAATAATACTTTCTTGTTATACTCACAATCGCTTGGGGATAAGAACAAATGGATCAAATAATGCCCTTAACTTTTTAGTCGACACACAGAATTACAACTTTTTTTGTCTTTTTATTGCAGCGGTATTGGCAGAAACTGGCCGTGGGCTTCAGGTGGGAGCAGTATCCTGGCTGAATACGGCACCTTGCATTTGGAGTTTATGCATCTCAGCAAACTGTCAGGAAACCCAGAGTTTGCTCAGAAGGTAAATGTTTCATCTTCTCTTTTTATGTATTATGAATTTCTCAAATATAAAAAATTAATCCATTTTCTTTTTGAAGGTGATGAATATCCGAAAAGTGCTAAATCGACTGGACAAACCACAGGGGCTGTATCCGAACTACCTGAATCCAAACAGCGGCCAGTGGGGACAGCGTAAGTACTACTGCAGTACTACTACTACTAATACTACTACTGCTGCTACTACTACTGCTACTGCTGCTACTCTCCATACAGTTTTAATATTTGTGTGTATATCTTTTGAAATAGAACCTCAACTTGATTAAAAAAGTGAAATTGATTTTAAAAATGATGTGTCCAAATTGTGCCCGTAAATCTTTGGTTAAACATATTCTGAGTTTGGAGGCTGAAGCAGGTCCATTAGCATTTGCATAACACTTGGAAATGTCACAGGGCTGTACTTCTCCTGCAGCCTCACATTGAAATTGTAATGAATTCAAACAGCTTGTCTGATTTAGTGCTCTTCAGAGTCTCTCACAGAAACTTTCTGCACCTGTAATTTGTACTGACAGAAACCACTGCTTCCTGCCAGTCTTGTCATTAAATTCACCTTCCCTGCAAATTTTAAGCTGAAAATAAAGTTGAACCGGGGCTGAAATAGTTTTTTGATGTCAGTCCAGATTTTTCCTATTGCTATGATAATGCATTACTCTTATATATGGAGCTTTTCCAAACCCTCTAATTGATTTTACATTTTAATGCATTTTTGGATCTGATTTTATGGTTTCTTGTATAAAAAGCTTATATAATGGTTTTCAATATTGCAATTCATAAACATAAACAAGACACACATTTAGTGAGTGTCTCCGCAATCTCCACAAACCTGATTCAAAGATAAAAGCCTAAAAGCAGAGTCTCCTTTAGGTATTATATTTCATCATAACATAAAACTGCATAAAGCTGTATAATCTAGTATGATTTTAAAGGAACAGTCTAGAATTTCGGACATAGGACCTCATTTCCTAGTTAGCCAGTGTTGGAGATGATTTTTTTAATATTCCATCCAGTTGTATTTGCAGAGGTCTCTGGTGCTAGACTAGTGCATGTCAATGGCCATAGTTACCCTGCCACTAAAAACAGTCTTACCCACTCCACAGAGCACCCGAAGCAAATCTATTATTACGCCAGACTGTCGCTGTAAATGTCTGTGTTGGTAGAATAATGTTTGAAATAAAACTAACCTTGCATCCATAGGCAAGGCAAGGCAAGTTTATTTGTATAGCACAATTCGTACACAAAGTAATTCAAAGTGCTTTACAGAATAAGAAATACATTAAAATCATAATAAAAACAAATCAAAACATAAATAGACATAGACTGTATATATGAGTGAACATAGCTAACGCGCTAGCCTTAAGTGCCAGATAGGAAGTTCGCCAGGAGGCTCTTCCGACTCCTTCTGACCCTGGCTCCAATCGACTTACATTGGGATCTTGTTGAACCTCTCTCTGTAACTGCTGCAGTGAGCCTCTTTGCCTCCCGAATTTTTTTTTTCACTATTTTGTCTGTCAAAAAAATCCTATTCGCTCCTGTAACCATTAGAATCGCGAGCCTCATTTGAGTGGCGCAGAACGCTATGGGTGACATCACACTCGCTTAGTCCACTTCTTTTATACGGTCTATGCTTGCATCGCATGAATCGTTGCATGTTGAGGGACTATTTTCTCAGCAACAGCAATTTGACTTTGCCGGTAAAATAGGTACAAGGTGATATCAGTCCGCCGCTGCCAAGCTTTCGATCAGGAAGTACAACTCGCTGCTTCTGCTCAGACATAAATCCTTCAAATGCAAGGTTGGTTTTACTTCTAAAATTATTCTATTGACACAGACATCACATGCACTAGCCTAGCACCAGCGACCTCTGCAAATACAAGGACTGGATGGAATATTTTAAAAAAGTGTCTCCACACGTCTCCAACACTCTGGCTCACTAGGAAATTAGGTATGATGTCCAAAATTCTGGACTGTCCCTTTACCTTTCTATTTCTATGCAATCATCAATCAAATCAGGTGACATGAATGTTACCAGTGTCGCTTTAACTTTTAAGCAAAATACACCTATTTTTGCTGTGATCATTAGACTTTACTCTGTCATTGATAACATTTTAACCTGCCAACTTTTTACTCCAAACCTGTGTGTGTCTTTCTAGGCGTAGGCTCAGAGTTTTCTGTATATTCTTGTAAAACGTCTGTCTGGCGCCTTGATGTTAAAAGTTGACAGACTGATTTGTGCTTTCAAAGTGCTACGTCCTGACACCAGCTGAAAAATGCAGAGAGATTCCAGACTTTGCTGCTATTGTCGCTTTCATTATCTCCTCAGCCGATGCGTTCTCACAAACATGACAAGTGTGATTACGCCAGGCTTTTAGCAATGCAGCTTCCTCCCCAAACCATACTCCCAGCTTTATTCAGCTCTACATGTGAACGCTTCCCTTTGGCCTTTTGCTCTCTTTCCTCTGTCATTATATTTTCTGGTTGGGCGTCGTAGGTTGAGGAGTTGGATAATGGATTTCAAATGATACCCCATTTCTGTGATGTGTCAGATAGGTGCACACAGGCATGCTACAGGGCTGCAGTCAAACATGGAGTGGAAACTAGTCACACTAGTTTAATGGGTAAATAGTCAGTGGAGTTACTTTAGCTTTATATTACTAACTTTTTTATTGCAAATTTTGAAAGATGTTGTATGTATTAACAACATTACAGAAAACTTAGTATATTATACACATTATTTAGCCTTCAAAAAATCTTTAAAAAGAACTAAACTCTTAAAAATCATAAAATATCTAATAAACAAGCTACAGATAAATTAAAGCCACAATCTGTAACATTTTAGCTAAAAAATAAACAAAAATAACTGCATATTCTGGTTATGTTTATTGAATTGAAATGCATACTTATTCTTACTCCTGTTTGTTTCCATGGAAATGTTTTTTTTGTTGTTTTTTTTTGGCTATTATCTTCCACATTATGGCAAAAAAAAAAAAACAGTATCTATCCCTGTAAAATGTTCCGCAATATAGTTTTAACTTACTGTTTTCATGGAAATGTTTTTTTGGCTATTATCTTCCACATTATGGCAAAAAAAAAAGTATCTATCTCTGTATAAAATGTTCTGCAATATAAATTTAACTTAATGTGAATCATTCAAGCGATTTGCTACCTCCGGAAAGTTGCATACTGTATCTTTAAGTTTTCAGGAGCAGCAAAGAAAAATGAGGGAGCCTAATGTAAATTATTCATTAATTTATTCGTATCCATTTTTTTATTTTTTTATTTTTTTTGGCACTGAAGAGTTAAAACAAATTAAATTAACAATTAAAACAAATGCAATAACATTCACTGGCCACAAGGGGTCAGAGTAAGGAAACAGAATAAATTTCTATATTGTAAATGTACACAAAATTATCTGTTCAACTGATCTGAAGTCTAGCACAATTTATCTTTAGGATTTATGCGCTTAGTGAAGTTCTTTTTAGTGTGAGATTGGACCTAGACTTTTGAATGTCCCTGGCTATTTCTGTCTATATTGAGTCAAATATGAAGCGTCTCCTCAGCTGAACTCCGATTCGCTCAAGTATTGAATAAACCTTTGAAAGCGCACGTGTAATGGTCTGGCATTAGCTGATAGTTAAGTACAGCGTGCAAATCTGTCTGTGTTTTCTATGCAAATCACAACACATTCAATTAGAGACGGTGAAGAAAAAGGACACGTTTCACAAAGATGGCGGGAAAGAATAGTTCACAAAAAGCTTTATGCTCATTTGAGGCTGAGGTTTTCATCTTGAAAGATATTACCGAGTGGAGCTGGGAATGCATTTGTTGAATAAATTATGACCCGCGGATGTTTGCAGCCTAATGTTCACAGAAAAATATCCCTTACCCTGAGCTTCTTGGAAATGTTTATCTTTCATGTGTTGTACTTTTAACTTGAAGCCTCTCATGTTGCTTTCAGATGCACACTTAGAGACAATACAAAAGAGGCTAAAATATCTATGAATAATATTGACCGATGACTGACTGATCAAACATAGTCTTCTCGCTTTGAAGGCAACTCTAAATGTGAGTTTAACTATAGTAATAATAGCAGAAGAGCTTTGGCATGCACTCTATTAGGCTATTAGTACTTAAAGCTGTACTATGTAACTTTTCTGGCGAAGGATCTGCCACCTGCTTGTCTCTATGGAAATGTCTATGACAGTGTTTCCCAAACTTTTTTTCTGGGGACCCATATTTTAAAAAAACACAAACCTTCACGATCCAAGTCAGTAGACATTATTCCGTAAATCATAAAATAAAGGTGGATTTGACCATTATTGAATATTAATAAGGATATTTTATTATTGACTGAGTGATCGTGTCTCTCTGAACAATTAGTACTACTCAAGTTTTAAACAATGAAGAACTGCAATAAAAGGTTTCTATAAGTCGCCTATTTGTACAATAAATGTCGCCCTTTTCTTTTTCTTTTCAACATTCAATTGAACCAGCAATATTGGAACAAAATAGTCAATAAAATAATTACAAAACGATTAGAAATTAATCAAAACATTACAGTAGCTCAGTTGGTAGAGCATTCGCCCACTGATCTGAAGGTTGGCGGTTCGAATCCAGCTCTCGACATAAACATCACAGGTTGAGCGGTCAGATCCACTGACCCACAGGTTGGCTGGTGTGATTCCAGCTCCCACAGATGAATGCTGTCGTTGTGTCCTTGGGCAAGACACTTAACCCACCTTGCCCCCAGTGTCTGTGTACACTGGTGTGCGAATGTGTGTGTGAATGGGTGAGTGGTTCCTTGCTGTAAAGTGCTTTGAGTGCCTTGAAGGTGGAAAAGCGCTATAGAAAAATTTGACCATTTACCATTTAACATTTCCTGTGGGTCTGTCTGCGTTTTTTGAGAGCTTTACAATCACACATCAGTATTTTGCAGACCTACATGTAGATCGAGACAAGGCGACTCAAAAAAATCTCTTGTGACCCACCTAAAGGTCATGACCCGGTCTTTGGGAAACAATGGTCTATGAAATAATCATGTCTTACCCAGGTAAAGCAGGGAAATTAAAATAACAATACAAACAAATAAAAACATAACATTAACATTAAGTCTAGCAATTATTTAAGTGTTGCAGCTCCACAGATCTGACCTGTTACTTGGCCTGCTTGTCTCCGTAGAGAATTTTAATGCCATACTGTAGAACATTCTTGGCAAAGCAATAATATCTCCATGGAGACAAGCAGGTGGCCGACTCTCCACCTGAACAGTTTGACAGTGCACCGTTAAAGACCTAACAAAGTGGCGATATCACCCTACATAAATTTGCTCATAACTTCAACAGTGGTACCTATTACCAGTGTTAGCTTAGATTTGATTTAACTTTGAAGAGGCAATTTCACAACCAGGAGAATATGGGAATATAAAAGAGTTTGGGTGAGTGGCTAGGTTAACCGCCTTTATCGTTGAACGCTTAACTAACTTTTAAACTGCCGCTTTAAACTTCGACATCACAATCCCAGCTCTGCCAAAAGACGATAGTGACAGCTCTTGATTACAAAGTGTCCCCAGCTGTCAGGCTTCTCCCAAGTATCCTTTCACTTTCACTTTTGATCTATTAAAATTGTCCAACCTTTTCGTAATGATTCTCTCTCTTGTGTTTATTGCGTCTCTGTAGCCTTTTCTATGAGCATTACCATCAGCTACGAGTGGGCTGGTCTAGCATGTGGCTTTAAACCTGGAGAATCCTCAGCGCTGTCCTACTCTCCTTTTCAAAATGATGGCGTTTGACATTTAATCTGTGGGCTGCACAAATTGTCTGGACTCATAATGACACATGCATATGAATGAGGCTCCAGCTCACCTGTGATAGCAAACCCAGGCCTTTCTCAGTGTTTGCCTCTTGTAGATTGTTGTAGATTATTACTCTGGTGCTTAGGCAGATAGGAGTTGGTTATAAAAGTGGTTTCATGTGAATGTTTGTGTTGAATTGCAGATCACGTGTCGGTGGGAGGGCTCGGAGATAGCTTCTACGAGTATCTGCTCAAGGCCTGGCTCATGTCGGACAAGACGGACGAGGAGGGAAAGAAGCTCTACTACGATGCCTTACAGGTATTGGATAAATGCATAGTAATGTTCATATGAAAACAGATTCCACATGTTAGAATAATCCTGATCTATAACAGTATATGACCACATGTTACATCAAAGACCTATTATTTTTTGTAAATAAAATCAAGTGTGGAAATTATTGATTTGTGACGCAATAATGTGACCACTTAAAGGTACAGTCTGGAATTTTGGACATAGGACCCCATTTCTTAGTTTGCCAGAATGAGGAGACGTGTGGAGACACTTTTTAAAATATTCCATCCAGTCCTTGTATTTGCAGAGGTCACTGGTGCTAGGCTAGTGCATGTCAATGGCCATAGTTATCCTGTCACTAAACAGTCTTACTCACTCCACAAAACACCTGAAACAAAACAATTATAACACCAGACTGTCGATGTAAATGTCTGTGTTGATAGAATCATTTTAGAAGTAAAACCAACCTTGCATTTGAAGGATTTATGTCTGAGCAGCAGCGAGTTGTACTTCCTGATAGAAACCTTGGCAGTGGCGGATTGATATCACTTAGCACCTGTCTTACCGGCAAAGTAAAATTCCGCTGCTTCTGAGAAAATAGTCGCTCAGCATGCGACGATTCATGCAATGCAAGGTTAGTTTTATTTCAAACATTATTCTATCAACAGACATTTACATCGACAGTTTGGCATTATAATTCTTGTTTTGTTTTGAGTGTTTTGTGGAGTGGGTAAGACTGCTAACTATGGCCATTGACATGCACTAGCCTAGCACCAGCGACCTCTGCAAATACAAGGACTGGATTGAATATTTTAAAAAGTGTCTCCACACGTCTCCTCACTCTGGCTAACTAGGAAATGAGGTCTTATGTCCAAAATTCTGGGCTGTCCCTTTAATAATGATGATACATTAGTTTTACACAGTGTTGCAATTGCTCGCATTATTCATTCACTCCACACTTATATACTGGTAAGATGCTATTGTAGCCACAGCTGCCCTGGGGTAGACTGACAGTAACAAAGCTGCCAATCTGCCCCATTGGCCACTTCAACCACTTCAACAAGGTGGTTGAAGTCATTCTAGGCAATGTGGCAAGGATACAATGAAAATTTTGCCACTGGCGCTCCTCTTTGGCACCTGCTATTCCCAGTGATCTTCCATCCAAGTACTAACCAGGCCCAACCCTGCTCAGCTTCGGAGGACTGGTGAGATTAATCTTTGACAAAGCAGTTTGGCCACATATTTACACATTCATTGTGCTGTGTTTGAATAGCTAATAGTGTTATTCACTGTAAAACAAAGAGCACTTCATAAACTTCATAAACAACTTGAGTAAAGATTAGTCTTTCATGCACCATCACAAGTCACTAAACAAATGAGGCAGTACAATCCATTCAAATGCAATTGATACATTAATAATCCGTGTCTCCACGTGCTACTTAAGCTTATAGAATACAGAAAAGTGTATGTGTGGGTTTTTTTAATAAACTGTTTGTTCCATAAGTGACCCTTATGTCATGACACTCTTGTACAACATTGATAATCGATTCTCTGAGACTTGGCTCGCACGACTCACTGCTCAAAAACAATCAGAGGACGAATGGATTCTCTACATTGGTCCAGTGCAGGCTCCGAAACACACACCCTCTAACTGCATGCCATTATTAAACTGTAGACTAGAGTGCGCTGCATAGATTTTCTCCAACCCCCTCTGAGGCTAAATCAAAGGCTCTTAGATAATAATGTCCAGAAAACATGACAAACCTCCTGGCGCACTTCTTCATCTCTGCAGAGAACAACATTGAATTGCCATGCTGTAGTTTGATTCATGGGTAGACATTGATTACTACATTTCTTTCACTTGCTATCTTGAGAAGTTGGCAGATTGGAGACAGACAGCGCAGACTTATTTGGAGAAGACAGATGAGCATGAACTAACAAACGCGCTCTCCTGAAGTGAACCCACACATTTGGAGAAGTGTAAAGGGCCTAAACAAATGGAAGCCGTGGTGATGCATGGGGTCTCAGCTGGAGGAGGCTGATTGGCTGCTGGTTATATAACACAGATAAAACCAGCTACGACCCCTAAGCACTCAGACTACAGGAAGTTGAAATGCATATTATAGGTTAAAACAGTGCCTCGTGTTAGGGCGTTCATCGACAAAGACAAATGTTTGCGGTTTCATCCCAGCTTAATATGCAAATCTTGTTGTTGGATGTATGTATGAAATAGTTTTAAAACATTTCAAACTTAATATTCTTACTAAGGAAAAGGCTTGATGGGCGATATACAGTCGATTTCAATCCTCCAATGATAAAATGATGATAAAAAAAACAAAACAATGGAATGTAATTTTTAACACATAATATATATTGTTTCTTTCCTATTGTTTCTTTCCTATTAAGTGGTCTTATGTCAGTTCTGTTAAGATCAAGATTGTTTACTGAATGTACAGATCGCATGAGGAGACACGTGCCATGTTTACATTAGAGCTTTAATTCTGAATACAAATAATTAAACTCTGAATAAAAATTATTGCAGCTCTAAAAAAGACCATGTTAACATTTAATTCGTAATAAAAATGATTATTCAGAAATAAACTTAATTCAGAAATAAGTGGGTGGTTTATTCCAATTTTATTCCTCGATCATGTAAATGTTTATTCTTCTTAAAAATAATTCCAGTCATTCAGTGCGATCCAGACTATCTAACCAGTCCTCGCTTCGGACTTTCATCCACTGGTCTTTGGATTTACAAGCAGGATGCGGGAATGGGCTGAGGTAGAGCAGCCGTTGACTCAGATGGTCTTCTTCTAGAAAGCCGGTAGCAACCGAAGTGTGTGTTTTCTTCCGAAAGATGTAAATATGTTTGCGTCCCTGTCCAACCAGAACCCTTCCCCATCCCCAGACATTGTGTGGAATTAAATAAAGCCGATTTAACGTGTTTTCCATGTAAACCTCAATTTGGAATTAAAATCGAATGAGAGTATTTTAAGTCAGAACTATTTAATTCAGAACAAAAACTTCGGAATTTAAAAAAAACAAAAAAAACATAATGTAAACGTGGCCACTGTGACAAAAGTTCAGAATTAGCCTGAAAATGTGAGACAAAAATGCAATATGGACAAAGTTACAAATATTGGAGAGAAGTGACATGTTTTGTAGCGTTGCTGTTTGAGCGACTGAAAGCAGGTCGCGGGGAAGGTCAGCATATGGCTTTTCAACATAAAAGTAGAGTATGACTAAATAACACTCACGCTGCTAGCCAGGGGCGGCGTCGGGGGGGCAGGGGAGGGCAATGCTCCCCCATAGCCCCCATTTCTGCCCCACTTTCACAGCACATTCAGTCTTGACTAAAAATTTTCAAATGGCAATGACTGAGTGTTCAAAATGACTCATTACTCAGTTCTAACTACATTTAAATTTGTTTAAAACAGCAACACACACATGGTAGGGGTGAGGGGTGCACTCCATGGTTCAAAGTGTGTAGAACTGTCTGGCACCGCCCCTGCTGCTAGAATACTAAACTCTTTCACTTTGTGCTGTAGGCGATCGAGACCAACCTGATGAGGAAGTCGAGCAGCGGTCTGACCTATATTGCGGAGTGGAAGGGCGGGTTACTCGAGCATAAAATGGGTCACCTCACCTGTTTCGCCGGAGGCATGATCGCCCTGGGAGCCGACGGCGCGCCCAGTGACAAGACCGGCCACCAGATGGAGCTCGCAGCCGAAATCGCACGCACCTGCCACGAGTCATACGCCCGCACAGGTAACGTTGTCCAATGTTCTTGTTTAGTTCTTATTTAGTCCTGGTTTCTTTTTGGTTTAGTCTTGGTCCTGGTTATTTCCTGGTTGTTTCCTGGTTGTTTCCTGATTCAGTCCTATTTCAGTCCAGGTTCAGTCCTAATTCAATCCTGATTCAGTCCTGGTTCAGTCCTGTCTCATCTATGTCCTGGCTAAGTCCTTCGATATGGATATTTTAGTGCCATGATTTTTTTTGGGCCACAAAAAATATTATTGAGCTATTTTGCTATGTTTAAATTATAATTGTACTTCTCTGACACCTTTCATCATACTGTGACATCTTTTCTTACACAGGTATATGCTTAGTGTCTATTAGAAACATTTTATTGAACCTCTTTGAGTAATTAAATCATTCTTGAGGTTCAGTGTGTGGGCGCTCCTGATTTAGTGCCTTCTCTTCAGTGGTGTCTGTCGGTCCTTTGATGACGTTTTATCTTCCGTAGCTTTGAAGCTGGGTCCAGAGGCTTTCCGTTTTGATGGAGGAGTGGAGGCCATCGCCACTCGACAGAACGAGAAATACTTCATCCTCCGCCCAGAAGTTATTGAAACATACATGTACATGTGGAGGTTCACACACGACCCCAAGTACAGGGAGTGGGGCTGGGAGGCTGTGCAGGTGAGAGCACACTTTGTTATATTTCTGTTTTACTGCTGTCATAGACACACCCACCAGCATCTCCACAGTAACTTTAAACTTAAACTATGTAAGTCTAAAGCCAAAAAAATAGATAAATAAATGCATATTTTTTTTCAAATTTTAGTTATTTTTATTACACTGAAACATAGAGAAACACAAACCTGATGCTTGTTGACCTGAAGGAGGGCCTCTTCCTGCTTGTTTCCACTGATATGTTGTTTCTTTTGCTATAATCTTCCACTGTATGGCATAAAACGTATCTGTATCCACAGGGAAAGTTTGAAAGTACGGTTTTAAAGGGTCAGTCCGGAATTTTGGACATAGGACCTCATTTCCTAGTGAGCCAGAATGTTGGAGATGTGTGGAGACACTTTTTAAAATATTTCATCCAGTCCTTGTATTTGTAGAGGTCACTGGTGCTAGACTAGCGCATGTCAATGGTCATAGTTATCCTGCCACTAAAAACAGTCTTACCTACTCCACAAAGCATCTGAAGCAAATCTGTTATTACACCAGACTATCGATGTGAATGTCTGTGTTGATAGAATAATGCTTGAAATAAAACTAACCTTGCATCGCATTGATCGTCGCATATTGAGGGACTACTTTCTCATATATCAGTCCGCCGCTGCCAAGGAAATGAGGTCTTATGTCCAAAATTCCAGACTGTCCCTTTAAGTTCCATGGAATCATACAGATAATGTGCCACCTCTATAATATTACATACTCTACCTTTAATTAGGAAGCATTTTAAATTGCCAAAACAAAAGAAAAACAGATCTCAAAAATACAGCTCAACACAGCTACTATTTGGATACTAACTTTTTTGTCCTTTTATTTAACCAGAAAAGTTTGAACGTTTTTAAACACACACTTATATTTAAATCCCCAAAAACCCCATGCATTTTATTTATTCATTACAAATAACTTATAGAGGGTTAAGCTCAATAGAATGAACTATTTTAACCTTTTTTTAAGATACTATTATTGTTTGAATACATTCTTACCCATTGTTACTTTCAAGCTGTTCATGTTAAACACTGCATCTATTCTGTCAGATATTACTTTGCACTGCTCACCCATTCAACCAAATATTGAGATTGAAAACTGCAACATTACTTTGAGTCAAACAGAAGGCAGCAAGCGGAGCATATGCGTCAGCCGGCTCCATTGTTATGCCTTGTGTTAATATAGTCAAATGGTTTCAACTACAATTGCTCAAACTTGATATTCCATCTTATTTGAATCTCATAGCCCACTAAACAATTGTATTCCCGTCACTTCGCCTAGGCTTTGGAGCAGCACTGTAAAGTCGAAGGAGGCTACAGCGGACTGAGAGACGTGTACGCCGCCAACCCCAACCACGACGACGTCCAGCAGAGCTTCTATTTAGCCGAAACGCTCAAGTAAGACCCCTCTTTCTGTCTCTCGCTCTGTCCCCCTCCCCTTCACTCGGGTCTCCTCATGATTGTCCTGTCACTACGTTTTTACCACATGACGGCGCTCCTCAAATCACCGTGACAACCTATCTCACATGTCAAGGGTACAGTGTTTGATTTATGTAGCCCTGCGGGGAAGGTCAGGAGGAGTCGAACCTATTTTGACAGACAATTCTCGAAAAGATAAGTTGAAGTTTATAATTCCAAGCAGGTAGAACATTATGACCATCAAATAACCTCTTCAACATGGTAAGACGGGATATGAGAGGGAAATATTCACTCATTGTACTATTCATTAACTTGGTGGTAAGCTACTATAGCCATGAACTGTCAATTTGCCCCAACAGTTTCGGCGAACTCCACAGATCTCTCATTACTCCTTACATTTATACACAAAATGACAAAGGGCACAACATTAAAAGGCACTGGCAGAGCTGCTATCAATCCACCCTGGCACCTGACCTCACCCTACTGTGTGTGAAGTTGAAAAAGTTGTCAATAAAGCAGTTTGATTTATCAAGTCTTAATTTAAAGATGGTAGAAAAAGTACAAGCATGTCTCAAGACGCCACTAGCAACTTGTCATAGTGATACATATTTTGACTTTGACTTGAGTTTGTTCGTGTCTAAGTTTGGGAGTGTGAGTATTTTGTGTATGTGGAGTGTGAACTGCGTCACTGTAAATGTGCCACCAGCTTCGCACCAAGTTTGGGTTTTCCTTATACAGTTATAAAGTTTCAGTAGTACCAAGAATAAATGTTCTTTAAGTTAAGCAGATACTTGGATACTTGATAGGCTCAGTCTGCTGAATGTCTCCACCCCCCCATCACCAACGTTTTGCACTAATCTTGGCCAATAAAGTGATTGGACAAAATAAAAATTTTAAAACCATGTTATAACGAAACATAAGGTCAGAGAATAAATACCATATTTTTCTGACTATAAGTTGCACCAGCCAAAAAATGCATAATGAAGAAGAAAAATATATATATAAGTCACACCGGACTGTAAGTTGCACTTTTTGGGGGAAATTTATTTGATAAAATCAGAGACCAGGAACCGACATTTCATCTTGAAAGGCAATTTATAGTAATGACAATAGAACAGAGAACAACAGACTGTTAACATAACGTGAACAGTTATTCAGATAACTATAGCATAAACAACAGAACATAAGTTTACCAAACTCTCCATTTCAGTCCAAATCACTAAATCCATTGAATTCTTCATCCTCAGTGTCACTTCTGAGCAACTCCATGACCTCTGGAGGTAAACGGAGCACCACTTTCTCTTCTGTGGAGCTGTCATCAGACTCGGCATCAGTTCCAGTTAGAATTATTCCACTCTTTCTGAATCCCTACAGGATGGTTTTGGTTGTCACTGAAGTTCAGGCTTTGTCGGTCCATCCAATGACTTCCAAGAAAGTTGCATGGCACACCCGCCCAGTTACCATGATGTTGTGTGGAGAACATACCTCCACGATAATCCCTGCTTTCCGCCAGTCCTTCGCAAGTTTCTCGCACACTCCAGACTTTCTTTCTGCTGCTCAATTACCATTTTCGGTTGCATATTTCATTACTTGCAGCAGGACAGCGGCCCTTTCTGCAGGAGAAATGCGCAGTAGAGGGCACAGTGACAGAGGTACAGAAGTTATAGGAGTAGCAGATACTGACACACAAGCCTAGAGCCTAGAGCCGCTGTCAGTGTGTGAAAATGTTAATATATAGGTCGCAGGACCACCCAAATCATGAAAAAAGTGCAACTTATCATCTGAAAAATATGGTAATGAATATAATAAAATGTAATTTCACAGCTTCAGTGCGCCTCATACACTGGTCTGGTACACTCACCCTCTATTGGCAGCAGAAGGAATTACAAGAGAGAAATTCAATTAAACTAAGTAGTAATGAACACAATTTGTTGGCAGAAAGTCTGGTGTTCATTTATAGACTTAAAAAGTCAAGTGTAGTCAAGTCAAGTGTACAAGGTTTCTGTCTGTGAATTTCAAAGACTGAAACCAGCATTTAGTCATTTTTGCACATGCGTTTTTTAAAACATTTTGACATAAAGCAGGTTGCCTTCCATCTTCACAAATATCACCCGATCAGACTTACTTACTCTAAATCCTTTGGCAGTTTTCTCATCTCTCCTTGGTTGTACCAGCCCTCGAATTACACCCCAAAATCCACATGAAATATGACTGTTGTTTATGCCTGAATGTTCCCCGATGGAAACGCAGCAAATGAAAACGTCTCATTACCATCATTTCACATTAAGAGCTGCCTGTGGACAACTAGAGGGGGGATATATGGAAGCAATTGACCACCGGCCCGGACAGCTCCACAATAATTGCCCCATCCGTCAAGACGCATCATAACCACGGTAACGGCATCATGGACCCTGCTCGTCATTACAAAATATCCATCAGTTTAGCACCAGACCATAACTTCTGTTCACTAATGTTTCTGGGGCGTATTAGCTTTGAGCTCTTTGACACTTCCTGGATTCATCTCTGTCACTGCTAAAGATATACTTTACACACACGCCATCACTCAACGCTTTGGGCCACTAGGGGCACTGGTGCAGAGGGATGGGGCCGAAAACACTGGACAACTTTGTGGTGTATGCAAAGGGCATGAACAGGACAAGTCAAGTTCAGATGACATAGTCAAGGAACTAAAGATGAAAGTGTAGAAGGATAGTATATAGTAAAAGAACAACTGGACAAAAGTTATTTACAGTTAAGGAGTTATAGAACAATTTAGTAGGACAGTTTAAAATAGTTTAAAATGGTCAATCAAAGAGGCATCATAAAAAAATGCACTGAGATTTAGAATGTAGATCGAGCTATTTAATCTTAATTTTGTCATTCACCGTAGTTTTCTGTTGGAGAATTGGAGCCAGTCTCAATGAACTAAACGCTCACATTCATTGTTTAAATGGATCTCATGCATCTCCGCGTTGAAAGATGTAACTGTTGTGAGAGTCATTACAAGAGTGACCACAGGATTACATCACTCCATCTTTCATAAACTCGTCTCCCGTGACAATTCATCTTCAGCGTCGACACAACTCTCCTCACTTGTTTAATGGCCACCCCTGTGATGAAATCTACAATAAATAGTGCAGACACTGACCTCAGAAGTGCACAGAACACATTGGAATGAGATTAAGGAACTTAAGTGTGGAACACTCAGTCTTCAAGATGAAAACATTTTATTTCAAAAATCAAATTGGAGTCAAACTCCATTATGTTCCTTTGCTCTACTCCACATATAAAGCCTGAGCTGTGGGCTGTGTTTTGCTGTGTTTGAATCCAGTGTAAAATCCAGTGCACGGTAAAAGTCTACATCCTCTGTTAAGAAGTCATTTTTCTCTACTTTTTCACTTTGTTGGTATTCAGAAGAATACAGTTACTTTCTTAAAATCAAAGGCATATGTTGTGGATTTGATCATGCAATTTGTGCTTCAGACTGCACAAGATTAGTGCCAAAAACAGAAATCCTTGCTCTTGCAGTGAAAGCATGTGTAATTTTTCCTTCTCTAATACTTCACACAAGCACAGACTTTTAACTTGATTACAGCACCAAGTCTTCTTCTGAACATCTGACCTCTCCACTTTGGAAAATTTAACACTTTTTTCACAAACAAGCTCGAAGTCTGCAAGATGTTGAGGACTAAATTTTTCTACCTCACTCACATCACAGAAGGTCATAATGAAAATCCTCAAACCCAATCTCCCTCTTCTGTGTGCGTCACGCGTCCACTGGGCTGTACAAGCTGTCAAAGCTGACTATTTGTTTTACGGTGAGGTCTGGAGCAGCCAGCCTGTCTGCACATGTCCCAGTCTCTCTCATTCATATACGGGCCGTGGCATTTAACGCCAAAGGGCAGAGGGCGGCAGAATACAGATGAGAGGGTGTGCAGCTAAATAAATTCACTCACAGATCCTCTGGCTCGCACTGGGATCTTACAACAATCAGGAAGGAACAGTGTCTATGCATTCTACATGGTCATTATTATTCTGCAGTGCTAATTAAAATGATTCAGTCGTATTCACAGAGCCTATTATATAGTCTCTAAACTGAAACATATTAGCTGTGATGTGACTCATATATAATGGGGATGCAGCCTTGGTGATTAGATTTAAATAGATGTGTGGAAGATAGGTTAGAATTATTAGCATTAGCAACATGGTGTTTCTTGGCATGTCAGTGTAAATTATGTTGATGTTATTCAGTTATGCATTGTATTGTTACACAACAGGGCATTTTGATCCCTGTTCAACAGGGAACCTGGGTTACACTGTTACCAAACTGTGAATGCAGATGGTCAAATTCTTGGTTGCTCATTCATTTAAATAAGGCAGAAACATTTCAGACAGCGGGGAAAAAATGTCGTTTTTATATCTTATATTTGCCAATGAATATTAAGAGTCAATATCTAACTTCTACTTGTTAAAGTGGAGCTTAATTAAATAAAACAAAAAATGTAATTGTCAAATATTTTAGGTTTTGGTGCAATTTGTCCAGCTTAACTTTGTATATTTTTGGTTTGTTTGCATTTATACTAATTTTAGAGTTAGTCTTTTTGTCAATAAACAGTAAAACTCTGTGAGCAGCCTTCAGATCGCAGATGTTCTGTTTACAAACACTGAACGTATCTACACTTGCCATAATTGTGTAGTAAAAAAGTGTCTCTTTTGTCTCCAGGTATCTGTACCTGCTGTTTTCAGATGATGACCACCTCCCATTCGAGCACTGGGTCTTCAACACTGAGGCCCACCCGCTACCGATCCTCAAGAGGGACAAAACAGACAGACCCAACGAGGTGGAGTAACGGCCCGTCAGAATAAGAGCACAAACCTCTCTGTCCTATCCTGTGTAACTGAGCCTGCCCCAGCGTTGCCCCAGGACTCTTCTGGACTGGATTTTTTAAAATAACGTGACAAAATTGGGGAGTTGGAGTTCGTAATAAAATTTTTTCTTTTTTTGTTTTGTTTTTATTTTTCCTGGTCCTACGCTGGGCCTTCACTGCCAGATAATGCAGTTAGTCCGAATGTAATAAAGACTAATACATATCTTCAGAGGAGGACGACTACGTGGCTTTGTGTAAATTACTCTTGGGATTATTGAAGAGATGTTCAGAGGTACAATCGGACAGTTTTCGCACCATTTGTTCACTGTTTTGTTGTGCGTCGCTACATCTCAAAGTCAAAGTCCCAAAGCGGTGTCTGCCCGTCGCGGATTATTGGCTAAACTGTTCGAGGAACGCAAGACTGACTTCACAAACGCTTTTCCCTCAACAACTTTCCAGCGCTTTTCAGATGAACTTGTAAACTAAAACCAAACTTCTGAACTGTTTTCGTGAGTTTGGGCTCTACCTGCCACTGACTTCAATGTTCCCCACTTAAAGTTATTATTTAAGGGTTGTTCGGCATTTGCACTATGTTCCTAAAGAGGTTTGGTCATTCTTGGTTTTCACTAAATGACCCAGACACTTTTCCACATGCTGTCATTCTACTGTTTATTGCATAAGGGTGAACATTGTGTTGTGTGATTAATCCTGGTTTCTATCCTCTCTTCACATTCATCTCAAAATACTTCAACTTGTTTCTGGTCCAGTTGAAGGTGCTGTATTTGATTTTTTTTTTTTTTTTTTACTGACAGTAGTTCATTTAAAACGGTTTACAGATGTCTTTCTAACAACTAGCATGCTAATTAGGGATGCACTGATATGATACTGCTGGGTCTGGTGTGGGCCATGGTATCGGTTAAGCTGATATCTTGGTTGGACGTGATAAGACGATTTTCAGGCTGGTGTAGACTGTCTCATAACGTTTGAACTTTTATTCAGACAAATCTGGTCAAAATCAAATCATTGACGATGGGAAGGGTAAATAACAGTTACACAAGTGCCATTTTCATCACTACCTACTAGAGATGTGCAAAAATATCAAAATATCGATCGCTCAATGTGATGATACAGTATCGATATCGTGGTCTGCTGTATCGGTATATTAGCCTGAATCATCAGCTGGTTTCACTTCGTAGAAACCGTCTGATCTCACAGTGTTAGAATTCCTTCTCTTGACAGTAGGCGGGTACTTTTTTTATTTAAACAATCACTGTTATTTGGTCGTGACGTATGTAATGCGCCACTAACGGGGCTAACTGGTATATTAAGCTTTTTCCAATTCCTGTAGGAAGAAGGACAATAATGTCTTTCCCCTTGATAAAATTCATCAAACATTCTCTTTGTTCCGACTTTAAATCCTCAATCTCGGGAATTGTTGCCAACACAGAATGTATGGCTCTTTGCTGATTGGCTGGTGCCCAAACTCGCACTTCCGAGGTTCTTCCAAACCGTCTAGTGTATTCCAATTTCTGATCTAGTCGCTGAAGAGAAATGAAATTGAGTGGACGCACTAGGTGGAGCCAGCCCGTCTATCGATATATCGAGTATTTTTTGGTATATTTTACTAAATTATTTTCTTACAGCGCTACAGTTTTGTTGTTCGTTTAGAGGAAGGAAACTCATTTATGCGACACATTTGACTTTTTCACTTTTTTGAGGATTAAAATGTTTGTGTTTCATATTCACTTTGCACAAGAAGTGGTTTAACAAAGACCTTTTAGTATCACAGCCATGATTTAGCCTTTATTTTTTATTGAACCGTATCGAAATCAATCTGAAACATATTGCATCGAGCTGAAAGTGCACTGTACTGAGATATGTATCGTATTGTGGCCTATATATCGAAGTATGCGTGTGAGACTTCTTAATGATACCCAGACTACTACCTACACTTTTATCAGCAAATATCAGGTATCGACAGATGTTTAAAAGCAAAATATCAGTATCAGTATGAGAACAGAAAAAGCTGGATCAGTGCATCCCTAAAACGCTTTGGAATTGACTGCAGACATTACACAGTGATCACATTTTGACCTGTTTTTAGAGCTGTTTTTACGACATATCTAATGGGGCAGAACAATTTTTGCCCAACTACATGGACAAAAATCGGGTACAGCCACCTTCACACAGAGTTACGTGTTTGCATCGTAGTCTGTCGTCCAAAGATTTACTCATTTAAAGGTGCAGTTTGTCATTTTTCTCAATCAGAAAGTGTGCGTAATGTACCTTTAAACCTCTTAAACCTACCCTTGTCTGTGAACAGCTGGACGCACCTGAGTTTTAGTTCTTAGAAGCCAACCACTCTACCACTCTGCTCCATCTTTTAAGAAATTGCTACGTAATATAAGCAATACATCAAAGCGGGCAGACATTTTGAGCATTCGTCTGTATAATTAATTTGGGAGTCATTCCTGAACATTTTCTCGTGGCCAAACCTCTCTGGCTCAGTTGCTTCCTGTTGCTCCATGATCCACTTGAGTAGGACACACTGTACGATGTTTCTCCTCCGTGAGGGGACAACCACACTTTCACCGAAGCCGGATCTGTTCAGCTTCAAAACACCGGCCTCTGCTTGGTCACACGGTCGTAGTACCATCTCTGTCCACACCGGGGCGCTCGTATCTACAACAGGAGATCAGTGATGTTGTGTTTCGTTTACAGCAGCAGCCGGATTGAGCGAGTTTAGTCTTTTATTTAGTGCCTTCACTGTGTAGTCTGAGGAAGTAGCAGCTCATTCAAGTCCACCGTACACAGCTTTAACACCAGTCAGTCTCGTCACAAAAACAAACCGAAATCACACGCCCCATTTTTCTGTATTTGAATGTAATCATTTTGTGTTCGCTTCAGTGTACTTGGTCTGTTTTGAAATATTAGATCTTTTGCTTCAATGATTTCTCACCAGCTGATTAGTTTGACTACACTGACATCTGCTGGAGAGACGTAGACGGTGCAGTTTCCTTTCGAGATGGGTTCAGGAACACGGTGTATTGTGGTGCGTTCACGTCAGTCAGGTAAATATCTTTATTTTTATTATCAAAGGTGAAATATTATAATTATGTTGTCTCACTCAGTTGCTTTGTAGTCGTTTTAGTTTTAAATTATACTTGTGTGAATGCTGAGGTTTGCAGGATTGGTCTTTTAGAAGTTATTAAGAGCTTTTATCATATCCAAAAATGTTTCATGTTTGGGCATTATTTATTTGAAGGCCAGCTGCTTTAAAGGTCCAATATTACACTTTCTAATGTTGTTTCTTCATCGTAAACATGCGTGGAGTTGGGTTTTGTTTCATTCACACATTCAGTTTTTAAACTCCATACAACTTTCACTAGAATCATTTGGATAATTTCAGCCCTGGAACTGCCAAGTGCGACTGAACTAAAAGTAAAAGGGTCGCTCTTAACTTGAAAACTACTGCTTCATGACATCACAAGGTGGAACATTTTGAGCTTTGGAGATGTGGACAGACTAATAATAAAGAATAACTCAAACATGTGTGAATGAAACAAAACACAAATTGAGGTAGAGTATGTTTTGACGTGGAAACAACATTCTAACACACTTAAACCTCACAAGAGTCAGTTTTGTGTAATATTGGACCTGTAATAGTAACTGTAGTTGGCCTAGTAAAGCTGTTTCATCCAAAACGATTACTGAATACAGCTGAGTGAGAGATTATAGTAAACAACTGTATTTATGTAACGTGGTGTAGGGTTTTTCATTCCGCAGCTCGTTGGTATTGACCCAAATTGCTGGAGTTAATCCCATTTACATCGGCTACAGCAGCTTTACTGTAAAACTGAATGTACCGTCCAATGTGAAGTGAGCCTCTTTTCTTTCTTTCTCTTCCCTCGTTTGTCGTTTTTAGATCTAGGATTTCTTTATGAACGGAAAGCACAATGACGCTGTGTGCCGAGGTGACGAGGTAACGCGCACATTTAGAATACTGTATGAGACGGACACAGGGACAAAGGACGAAACACTGACGCTGCTCCTTCTGTCTTTTAGCGTCTGGAGGAGCCCGACTTTATTATTATTATTATTTTAAATATACCTGAGAATGAAGGAAGCGTTTGAAAAGTATTGTGTGAAGAGATTCATCAGAAGTTACGCAGTGAGGTCCTTTTTATTTTTAGTTTTGTCAGTCACAAGTAACTAATAATCAGAGTTACAAAAAGAGACCTGTTGATACTTTGCAGTGACGTCACGCTGGGGGTGTTGTACATGTGTCTCTATTGGCAGAATGTAACACAACGCACAGATTAGTGAAAACTGTCAAAAATGTTTTAATATAGTTTGAAAACTCAAGAAAAAAAACTAAATGGAGACTTTTTTAAGCGCACAAATGATCTGACCTGCTGTAGTTCCAATAAAATCTGCTCTTTTGGGCCAGATTGTGTTAAAATAAAACTTAAATTAAAGTGTAAATTAAGTAACAGAGCTTCAGACAGAGCAGTGCATTCAGTTAGCTTCCATGGGAACATTGATAACATCAGCTGTAAAGTATCAATATACGATTCATAAGAATAGAAATGATCAATAATTAGAATATCAGGTTAGAGTCATCTATTGGTTGCTCTATTTACCTTTTTGGAGAGTTTTAATGCTTTATATATACACAAAAAATAATAAGAAATATATTCTATTATATTTTTTATTATATTATTTATTGTTTTAAATAATTTGGATCAAATTTTGGAGTTCATTGGAATATATTGTACTGTATTTTATTAGTAATACTGAGTTGAGTGTTTAGCCAGTGGAGTATCGGAGTTATGTCCCAAGCAGATGTTTACATTTATTAATAATAATTTAAACATTTTTTGGTCAGCCATTTAAACAAACACTTTTCTACATAAATCCAACTCAAAATATGTAGCAAAATCACCATTAGTATCTTGTATTTTGATTTCATGAGCTTTAAAATGCTGAAACAGTGAAATTCTTTGAGATTATTTAGTGTGTATTTTGGTGATGCAGTTGATTGGACCTGTGTTTGACTTTGGCTTTGGGACCATCCATTCTTTAAAGTTCTCTGTTCTCAATGGGTGAAACGTCTCTTGGTGATTCTTGTTGACTTCTTGTTGTGTTCAATGCTTTTCTGTTGTGAATAAGTGAATTGGGATTCTACTCTTTAAGCCAGTTTTAGTCCAGAATACTGATTTTGGACTAAAACTGTGTCTGATAAGGAACTCGTGTGAATTTGAACTTGTGAAACCTCAGAATTGTCTTGTACAGAAAATTGCTGATAATCATTCCATTGCACATAGTTTACTTTGTTTATGCAATATTTTGAGTTGTGGGGAATTGTTTTTGTTGTGTTGATATTCTTAATATAATGATTATTCTAGAAAAGTGTACATATTCCACTGGAGCAGGTGAGCCGCTCTACGTTTCTATAAATCTCCTGGATATTGAAAATGATATTAAGAGCAGCAGACTTTTTAATAAACTATATTTGTTACACTTCTATTGTGAATAAAACGCTTTTAATAAATACTGTCTCCTGGTTTTGTTTTTAAATACAGTTTCCACTTTACATTTCTAATTCAGTGAAGTTCATTTGGTCTTCCAATAATTTATGTTATTTGTAGGAGTGTGCAAAAATATCAAAACATCAATATATTGTATCGTTTAATTCGATTATACAGCATCAATACCATGGGCTGGTGTATCGATATATTGCGAAGATAATTTTTTGGCGTATTTTACAAAATTATTTTGTTTACAGTGCTACAGTTTTGTTGTTTTAGTAGAAAGAAACTCGTTTATCCGACACATTTCACATTTTCACTGTTTTGATGATTAAAATGTTTGTGTTTCATATTCACTTTACACAAGAAGTGGTTTAACAAAGACTTTTTTAGTATCACAGCCATGATTTAGCCTTTATTTTTATTGAACCGTATCAAATCGATCTGAAATATATTGTATCGAGCTGAAAGTGCACTGTACTGAGATATGTATCGTATTGTGGCCTATATATCGAAGTATGTATCTAAGACTTCTTAATGATACCCAGACTATTACCTACACTTTTATCAGCAAATATTGGGTATCATGTTTTAACAAAGACTTTTAGTATCACAGCCATGATTTAGCCTTTAGTTTTTACAGAACGGTAAGATCACTGTATCGAGGTATGTATCGTATCATGGCCTATGTATTGAGGTGTGTATCGTATCTGCAAATTCTGAATGATACCTAGTCCTAGTTATTAGCCCAAACCAGGACGAGGGGCTTTTTTACTCTCACACACCTGGGATACTCTCCTGAAGAAGTCGGACTGCAGATGGCGCTGTCGTTTTGCCTCCTCCAGTAAGAAAACAGCGACAAAATCTGTATAAATCAGCTGACTGGACATTTCACAACAACATCATGTGACCACTGAGGAAGACCGAAGTCGAAACTATCAGGTATGAAAACAAACTGTTGGTATGAAAAAAGAACCTAATAACATGAATCACCAATTCTATTCAAGATCATAACAGCTACGGTAGCCCAGGAGGGTCATGAGTAAAGTACACTCAAATAATGATTATTTAGGAGTTCACTGCAAAAACAAATTCATTGAAAACTCGCCATAAATGTAATCTTCAACTTGTCAAAATCTTTTAAGCAAATTGTGTAATAGGCTACTTTTTGATCATGAACTATTATTAGTACATTTGACAATTTCATAATGTAATTTTGCATTCTATCAAACATCCATTTTGTGATTTCTATTGTTTTATTTATTTTTATTTTTTTAAGTTATACATCTTCTTGAACTGGAACATATGAGAAGAGAAAATATACCCAGGCCTTAAAGCTGTACTCTGTAACTTTTCTATCTGCTTTTCTTCATGGAGATGTTACTACTTTGTCTGCAATTTTCCACAGTATGGCATTATACCTATATCTCTATCCGCATTTGTTCAAATCTGTGTTTGTATAGCTCAAAAATACCTTCAAAAACATCATTCTTACTGTGAACAAGGTTGCCTCTCCACAGATCTGACCTGCATTCTGGGTAGGTGGTGTTACTTGTCTACACTGAAACAGAAACATTTAAAGCCTTACTGTGGAGCATTCCAGGCAAAGACATGACACACCCATGGAGACAAGCAGATGGCAGACACTCCATCTGAAAAGTTACATAGCGTACCTTTAAAGCAGGAAGACCCAGGACACGCTGGAGGGGCTATGTTTCTCGGCTGACCTGGGAACACCTTGGGGTCCCACCGGAGGAGCTGGAGGAAGTGTCCGGGGTGAAGGAAGTCTGGGAGTCCCTGCTTAGTCTGCTGATCCTGCAACTCAGCCCCTGATAAGCGGAAGAAAATGGACGTCTGAATGGACCTTTAAAGCTACATTTAATTATTTCCATCGGGTGCTTGTTAGTAACGCTAAAAAGTCCAGATTCAACTTTTACTTGCTCACTTGCTTTTTTTTTTAACATTTTTTTTTACAGTTGTGTGTTTATCTGACTGTGTGTGTAATAGAGACATCCATCCACCAGGGGGCACTGTAAGACTGCTCCGTTTTTATGTACACCCAAAGCGTTTGACCTTTTCTGTTCGGTTTATTATTTAATACGAAAAGGCCTGCAGATTTGTACAGAAAATATATAAAGTTAATCTTGTGTGCTCTTTTTGGGCATAGGCTGAGTTTAAACACGTAGCTACAGTGTGAACGCTTATAGAACTGCGGATATTTAAAACTACAATAGTACAATCGGTGGTGTTATGTAGGAGCTAAATTAAAATATCCAGTGTTTGACGTCCGTGTTTCGCGTGACGTTTGCGTGCACGTCCTCCCGTTGCCATGGAAACACCAAACAAAAGACTGCGCTTCTCGTGCCGAATTGAATCTTTTTCAAGGATGTTGCGAACAGCGTGTTAACCTTTAGTGTTTCAGCTCGGTGCTTCTGGATTATTAACGTACTCGCGTTTATTTTCTATTCTTAGCCGTAGTGTTTTATTTGAGCCCTACTCGTCATTTTGTTTGGTTTAATAAAAGGTTGTTCCCATGGCAACAGGTTACGAGTCGCTAATGATGCCACTTGGATGGAGAAGAGGTGTGTGTCCAGGTCAAAGCCAAATGGACCGAAATAAAAATACAAATACTGTAGATATATTGAACTCTAACTTATACACAGTCATAGTCACATCACACCTAGGGGGGGTTCTACGTGTATGTCTATGGTGGAATATTTTGGAGCTACCATGGTGGCACATTAGCAAACACACACAAAAAGTTTTAATGATCATTTGAAAAGTATGAATAGGCCTACAAAACAAAAACACCGTCACTTTTACAGTTAATATCAGCGTACATCCCGTCATTCTTGTCACACGTTTTTTTTTTTTTATTTTATTTTATATTTTTTTTATGTGATTACGAATGAAATCTTGGCCCTATTATATATATTAACTTTTTTTTTTTTTTTTTTTTTTTTTTTACATTTAGGTTTTAGAATAGTGTATTTAATTTTTTATTTTTTTTTTTTTTGCCTGGAATGTCCCACAGTATGGCATTAACGTATTGTATACATGTCCGTGGAGACCTGCAGGTGATGGCTTTCATTATTAGACTTATGGTTAACAAGTCAGACCTGTGGATAGGCAAGCCCGCTCACAGTAGGAATACATGTTTAAAGGCACACTGTGGAACATTTCAGGCTAGAAAAATGGCAGAAAGATTACACTGTATGGCTTTATAAAGGGTCAGCATTCATTTTTGTAGAGTAGATTCAATAAAAACTACATAGATACTTTATTCATCCCAAAAAGAAGCAATCTGAGAAGCAATCGGAACATTAAAAAACTAAAATAATATTAAGATTTGTCTAGATTGTGACAGTGTTAGAACACCAGCCAACCCCAGTTTACCTGTCTCTGTTTACTGTGTTGTAATGACTGACTGCCTCGTGTTCTTTGTGTTTATAGACGACACGGTGGTTGGTTGAACGTGTTAACGCGCTGGTCAGTGTCACATCAGTTTGGATGACATAGTGTCTATAGTGAGTGTGGAGCCGCTGGTGCTGTCTGTTTTACTAAAGCGATTCTACACAAAAACTCCAGGGCAAATCATCTCCAAAGCAGAGTGACAGATGAGCCGCTGAGGGCAGAGGCTGGATTGCATGAGATGTTTTTGGCTTCAGATTAGTTTGACATGCATATGACAGATTAGATTATAGATTTGAAGATAACTGTAGTTAAAGGGCTCAAATTACACTATTTTCTGATCTCCATTATCATGTTGTTTCCTCAGTGTTTTGCTTCATTCATTGATGTTTAACGCACAAATTTTGCATTTTTAGGCTGAAGACTTCTCTCAAACTGAAATCAGCTTGTGGTGTCATGTGGTAATGCAGGAAGTGCTTCACTGTGTTTTTAAAATTAAATCAGCTCCTCCAAATCTGAGGCCATGGTTCTCGATTGGAAAAAGGTGGGTTGCCCTCTCTGGGTGGGTGGAGAGTCCCTGCCTCAAGTGTAGGAGTTCAAGTATCTCGGGGTCTTGTTCATGAGTGAGGGGAGGATCGAGCCCCTCACCTATGGTCATGAGCTTTGGATAATGACTGAAAGGACGAGATCACGGATACAAGCGATCGAAATGAGTTTCCTCCACAGGGTGGCTGGATGCTCCTTTAGAGATAGGGTGAGGAAGCTCAATGACACAGGAGGAGCTCGGAGTAGAGTCACTGCTCCATGCTGAGAAGTGTCAGCTGAGGTGCCTCAAGCATCTGTTCTGGATGCCTCCTGGGCGTCTCCATGGGAGATTTCCTGGGCACGTCCCACTGGGAGGAGGCCCCAGGGAAGAACCAGGACATGCTGGAGGGACTAGGTCTCTAGTCTGGCCTGGGAACACCTCGGGGTCCCCCGAGAGGACCTGAACGAAGTGTCTGGGGTGAAGGGAAGTCTGGGAGTCCCTGTTCAGACTGCTGCCCCTATGACCCGGCCCCGGATAAGTGGAAGAAAATGGGTGGATGGATGGACACCGTCACTAGAAACATTTAGATCATTTCAGACCTGAAATTACAAATCTCTATTAAACTACATGTAATAATTAGCTCGTTAGCATTAGTCACTTATTCACTCTCACTTTTTGTTGAAAATCAAACTCCTAAACTCCATGAAAACTCACATTAATCACAGGCTCCTGTAAATGTGTTTAAATGAGTTTTCAGACCATCTTAAAACATTTTTGTCTGTGTTTAATGTGTGCATTGTGTCACCATGGTAACTATTGAACATTCCACCTCTAGAGATACACGTAGAACACCCCCAGCACGATGTCACTGTAAAGTATCAATAGGAACATGGAAAATAAAGCAGATTTTTACCTGGTTGACTATATCCTTTATATTCATTCATGTAAATGCTATTCAAATATTCATACGCTGCACTTTAACATATTCCCCGCAGGTATTGAAGTTGCACTTTAGTTTGCAGATACTGTTAAACTTTGTACAAAAAGTACTTCATTTTAATAAGCTTACTTCCCTTTGACATACAC